AAGACATAGGTACCAAGACAACCCCCCCTAAATTACCCCAGCCACGAACTAGAATCAGACGGAGCAAACAGACCCTCCCCAAACCCCCTTAGCCAATCTTAAAGTCAAGCCGCGCCCGGAAAAACGCCAACCATTCCCTCCCCGTGCCCACCAGACCGCGAGGATGGTGCCCGCGACATGCGTTCCTGTTGGGACGAAGGGAGGAAGGGTGGGGTAGAGGGGGCGGACGGAGAGATGGCGGGGAGGGGATATGGCGGCGGAGAGGGCGGCGGAGAGGGCATGCGTGCCGTGGTTGCAGATGTCGCCGCCGAAGTAACGCGTGCCGGCTGGGTCAGCTTGGGACGGGTCCGCCGCGGTGGCGTCAGAGGGGAGGTCAGGGTGTGCGAGCAGGTAGCCGGAGTCGATGATGCACAGCGGATGCGTCACCGCCGACGGGAAGAAGGAGGCGTCCGGCACCGCTTCGTTGTACACACGCTCGATCCCCCATGGCGTTCCCTCGGCTAGCTGCCGCTTCCGCGAAGCCGAGGCCGAGCTTGTTGCTAGGAAGCGCTGCTGATCCTCCTCGACCCTTAGCCCCGAGCGCTCCGCCTGGTCCTGGAAGGCTCGCGCCGTGCTGTTGTCCTCGAATTCGACCACTGTGAGGGTTTTGAGGGCTGCTTCGATTGTCTTCTTGACCTCTCCGCCCACAACATCCGCCATCTGCGCCACCTTGCTTGGAGCTCGCGCGCCACCCTTGGTCGTCGCCACGTTGGTCTGCTTTTCCTCGGTGACAACGTACCGAATCTTGGGGGGGGTTGCGGGCGGGCTAGGCGGCTCTGTCGCGCGCGGGCGGCCTTTCGTGGCAGGCGCCGCCGCGGCGGACGCCAGCAGGGCAAGAAAGAGGGAAGTCATGTGGTGCAGGCCCAGAACGGCGTGCAGGCCCCAGAGATTGTCGGAGATACTCCATCGACACCGGATCGCTACCCCAGATCGGCAGACGAACAGATAATCGTGCCGCTAAGAGGAGGCAAATGGCACACTACGGAGCGAGCGAAAGGGCACTACGCCTGGCACCAAAATCACCCCGTTTTTGCCCATTTTCGGTCATCCGTCAAAATATCTGAATGAAGATCTGACCGGGGGATTCTCCCTGAACTGTATCGTCGTCGTCGTCTCTAGCCAGTCGCTCTAACTCTCAGAGATGGGCTAAAGAGGATCCGGAGCGCGGTAAGACTCTGGGGCTCTCTCCGATGGGAGCGTAGCGTACGCGGAGGGAGCTCAGAGTTTCCCCGTTCTCTGGAACCTCTTGGAGCAAGAGGACTCGCAAGAGACGAATGCGATTCGATCGGGCGGTAGATGAGGGATGGTGGTGGGTCGCTTTGAGAACTGATAGGTTGGCGCCTGTCTGAGCAGGAGCCGACGCTAGTCGGGAGCTGTGTCGGAGCCTCGTGGCGCTCGGATGTCCCGCGCACAAAGCGGCGGGCAGCGGCGGGCGCGGGGGTAAGGGTTCCCGCCCGCTAGGCGCTC